AATATAGAAAATTCAATTAGTTTTTTTTTATATAAAATTATCTCGAAATAATTTGTAGTCATTATTTAGAGGTGTGATGCAGTAATTTTAACTTCGTGTAGTCAATTACTTTATTTAGTGTGCCAACTTTTTTTTTATTGGTGGTATATTGAAATACTATATTTTTTTTAACTCGATATCTAATCAAAAGAAACCACATAATAAAAAAAAAATAATCGTAAATGAGACAAATATATTAGTTATTCGTTGTTGCTTGAGTTTTATTTTTGTATGTAATGCCTTTAGCTCATGAAATCAAATAAACTACGAGTTAAGCTTCGTTGGTTGAGATTATAATGAACACATCTAATGAGAGGCTGCGTCTATAGGGTTATAGGGATTAATAATTTATTGCAATACCGTGTTAAGGTGATTACAATAAAAATACCTTCGAATTTGATATTTTTAATAAATTTCATATGGGTTTATATATATGATATTTGAAAAATAATTAAATTCCAGCAAAATTCACTTAAAACCAATTTAACTTAATAAGAAAATGTAAAAGAAAAAAATGTATTGTGGCGTTCAGAGCAAAAACCTCAAAGTAGCACAAATGTCAATTGCAAGAGTTTTACAAATACTTCAAGTCCAAGGCACAAATGCAACAAACCGCACAGCTGCAACTTTAATTGCCTACACAAATCTATGCTGCATAAAAATGCACAAAAGAAAGTGAAACTATCGTCCACACATTTCTTTGAATAAAAAGACAAGAGCAAGAAGGTTCGAAAGACATTCAATATATTTTCATTTTCCACGCCAAGATATAAAAAATTTCTTTTTTATTTGATAATTTATAAAAAAAAAAGCTTGGCAGGATATTGCAATTTCCAACAAACTAAATAGGCATTTATTGAAATTTATAGAAGATATTACAATATCTCAGCTAAACAACATGGAAAGCTTTGTATTAGGCAGATGCGACTTCCAATTGTTGCATACATACCTATCTGCTTGAACTGATCAGCGGTGTCATCATTTTTTTCCCATAAAATATTAGCAAAATGACTTCTTGAACGTTCGTTCAGTGAAAGCGAATTTCCAATTGCAAGCTAAAATACACAATAACAATAAAAACAACAACAAAAGCTAAAACAGTTACAATGTTAAAAGCTGGGTTATTGTTACCTACATTTTTTTTCATTTCTTTTTTTGGGCACTCAAGTAACTACCCATCTTCACCTTCATGAAAAAGTATTGTTTACTTTCTTTTTCGTTGGCGTTGCAAATATCTCAGCATTTTTGTTTAATTAATTTAATGTTTTCATTTTGCATTAACACAATTTAATTTTTTCATCAGCCGCAATTGCCGTGGTTTTTTGTTATTTGTAATGTCAAGGTTCCATGTTCCATATTTCGGCATTCTTTGCCAAACATACACTGCATACACTGAGTACACTGAGAAACACCGATAAACTCTATAGTGTGCGCTTCTGTTTTCATATTCCATGCGCTGCATGCTGGTGTAAGCGTGTATGTGTGTATGTGTGTGTGACAGACAAAAATTAACAACAAAAACGCTTAGCGTTTAATTCATGTAAAATGAAAGTGATTTTTCTTTTAAGCTTCATTTGCTCAATTTTGTTGTTGCAGTGCAATCGAGCCAGAGACTTGCTTCATTAAAATTTTTTTTTTAATATTTTAATTTTTTAAATTTCTTTCGCCGTGGGTGCGTTTAATATAATTGCTCTTGGCCATGGTCTTGGATTTGCTGATTATATATTCATAAAATGTTCTTGGCTTTCTACATTTTATGTTATGATTTTAATAAAACCAAAATTATTTTTTATATTTTTAATACGAATTTTAAATATGTAAAAAAACAACAAAATTTTGCTTTTAGCAAAATATTAAAAGTGTATTTAATAATAATATATTTAATAATAATGTTTATAAAATAATTTTATTTAATTTTAATAACTTTAATAGTATAATTAATAGTAGTATATATGTATATATTTTTTTCTTCATTTTTTCTCACGTCTTGTCAGAGACGTGAGGGGACAAATTAAGTAGATTTGTTCTATTGAGAAATTTATTTAGATTGTATAGAAAAACTGAAAAGCTTTCAATTGATTATGTCTGTATTGATATATTACAGACATTATAATTATTATTTGAATATGAAACAGCTATTGAGATCAATTATAATATTCTAATAGTGACTATTTAAAGCTTGCTATATATACAGTGAAAATTCTTTTAAGCCGACTCTGGATCTGGCTAAAAGTCTGGCCAAAACTGAATAAATTTGCTTAAATAGATCAAAAGAAAGTGAGTTAAAGAGGGGTGTCACTTCAACGAGTGTGTCTATTCAAAAGTGTGGCCGCTTTATCTCTGGTTTATAGTAGATTGCGTAGCCTGTTGCTGGATAATTTCTGTGTGGGTTTACTGATCTATTACTATAACGATCTATGTGTAAAATAACGATTTAATTACGTTAGTAGTTATTTTTTATTTAATTTTATACATCCGATTCATAGTGGATTATGGAAGTATGGCTTGCCTGAGGCACTTTGCTGAAGACTCGTTAACGAACAAATCGCTTTGCTGTATATTTGGTATGATGATTTAATAATGCAAATAAACAATGTGGGGGTTATTTCATTAAAATGTTTACTTGTGGCTTACGGTTGGCTTACGAAGGTATGGCTTGTCTAATAGGATGCGTTAGACACTTTGATGGAACTTAAGAAGACTGTCTCATCTGTATAGTATATGCTTGAATTGTTAAATTCACTAGTGAGTAATATCATAGTAACTAGTGGTAACTAGTCGTAGTAATCTATCTGTGAATTACGAATATATTGAGGGAATTTTCATTTAAATTTTTTAAGAAGACTGTATTGTTATAGGTATGCACATCCTTTTATTGTTGAATGCACTAGTTAACAATTTTAAAAATCTATTTTATAGTTGACTATTTTGTCGAATATCGGATATTGTTTGGTCATTTTATCTTTACTTGTAGGATCCGTTTAATTAGGTTACATTAGGTTATACAGGCGATCCACTTAGGCCTATAGGTTAAGATATCTTTAATATTACAACAAAAATATTTTGGTTTAATAAGTTGACTTTTTAATTGCATATGAATGCTACTATGTCATACTATTTTTTTTTCTGACACTTTTCTAACAGGGAATGCATGAAATAATACGTTAAAATAATTTTAAGTTCGTTAACCTACGCGTTTATATATATATAATTTTTTATCTTTATTTATAATATACAAGTGATCGTTAATAATAATAAAAAGTATCACAAACTTACAAAATTTTTCATATTTCATAACTCACATGATATATTTTTTTAGTAAAAAGTTATTTTACAAAAAAAGACTTGTGATTATTTTTCTATGTTAATTAATGACCAAATTTGTTAAAATTACTTAAAAAGACTATTAAAAAAAACTTGTGAAATCATGTTCAGAATCTTCAAAGGTTTTAATTAAATTTTATAAAATGTATAAATATAATATATTTTTGTATGTATGTATATATACACCATAAATTGTGTAAAATTAGATTTTGGGGACAGTTTGTATAACAGTAGCAGGAAATAAATTAAAAAAAAGAAAACAAATTTAATTTACTTAACTTTTCAGTCCAAACTTGTCCGTTTTTGTTGAAATTGGCATTTTTGTAATGTAAAATGTTGATCAAAGCGTTATTTACAAATCATTTTGCAGTGAACCGGTTGATCTAGTTTCACATCACCAAGTAAAGCTGAGCTAACCAATAAACCCCAAAGCGTTTAAAGCACATCACCATCAGCACCAAGAGAAACATCAGCAGAGGCCGCAATGCACGCTACGAGTACAAAATTGAAATTTCAAGTTACTGCAGAAAGCGATACTCGTATCTACGTTCGAGTATCTCAATCTGAATATCTTAACTTTTGTTTTCTATTCTGAATTTTGTTGGTGTAAAACTTTTACTTCATGGTCGCGTTGCTGGTGCTTGGCTGAGTCAATGATAGTGACTGTGTTTACATTTTTTTCTTCACTTTAAATTGGCCAAAGTTTGAAGTTGGAATGGGTTCGAAATGAGCTTCGAATTGTAATGATTATGTTACTTTTGCTACCAGTGATACATATTTATGCTTTTACTTTTGTTTTATTAACACATTTTTATATGCTTTATTAATGAAAAGTACTCATTTTCGCGGTGTTTATTCAAATATTTTAATTAATTTTAAACGTACAGGCTTTTTGAAAGTATTAAAGTAATAAAAAATTACTTATATTTAGATATTAATTTCTTTTAATTGTGAATGAACTTGTTTTTGAAGTGTTTAGACATAAAATTATTTAATGATTTATTATAAAAAATGCACACCTTGATTTAATTAGATGAATATAAATGTATTTTATTATTAATTTTATTTTCTCATAAATTCCGACAATTATTTTATTTTAAATTTTCGATAATAACAATTTCATTCTTTATTTAAGATACGCTTTCAATCACTTCGTAAACCAAAAATATACAAAAATATAATCGTATATAAAAATAAAATGAATTCATTAATTATGTCTTTAGAAAAAAAGGTCACGTAAACCACAAAAAAGTAATTCGCATTTAATTATTTGCGTCTCTGATCGCATTTGTTATATATAAAATTTTTGTCTCAAAAATTGCGTTACACTTTAATTTATAAGACCTTCAAGTATCTGTTAATGTATCGCAGTTAAGTACATCTATTTAATTGAAATTCACACTCGTTATAAGATTACTCTGTTTGGATTTTTTTAAACATTGCAACATTTAACATTTTTGTATACACGTTGATGGCTTGTGTAAATTAAGAACGATTAAAGAATTATAATAAAGATAGATAAATGATATTATAGATG